ATGACAATGATTTAATAATCTTCAAATTCTGAAATTCGCTAAGAGAAATAGTGAATAGATATAAATTTCAACAAAAAATAAAGATTTACTCTACAAAAAGAAATTTAGTGCATGCCATATGTTAAACAAGTTTCAATCACGCCTGCACACCAATCACTAAAAAAATTAAAACCAAAACAAGGATAAAAAAAATATCCAGATGAAAAAGTTACAACAGTATAAGGAGACTTGCCCCAAAAATTAGTCAAGTCCAATGAGGGCTCAATGAACACAAGTTTAACTAGCACACACACGAATTGAGAAAAAAACTAAAACTTTACTTTTATAATCAATGATCAATAATTATACATAACTCAGGGCTCATGAAAGACCCAAAATAAGAATTTTACCCAAATTTAGTATATTATGACCTATATATACATGTTGCAGCCAATTTGAGCTAGTGTGGTGAGAATGATGATTGATTGACGTGACAATAGATGTAGCAAGTTCAAAATACCTTGATTGCGGACTAAACCACTCAATTTGTTTGTGAAAGGGATTGCACTGACGTGTTCCGAACGTCAAATTTACAAAAGAACCACTCGTATGCAACTTGCTCAAGCGGCCACAATAATGACAATCTATGAGCGCAATATTGCATAAAATTGTCGAACTTTATTTGTTCATGAAATAAATTGCATCATAGCGTTTAGAACATCAAAATAACTAGAGAGAACTTCTTGTGCTTGATTCAAGTGAACGCAAATGAAACAATGATCTACAAACACTTTGTTTCATAAAGTTGCTCAAACATCGTCCGTTTGTGAAAATGACTTTGTCGGTGCATCTGAAACGTTGAAATTATCCAAAAATAACACCCTTATGTATGGGCTAACTCATAAGTTGAAACATAAATTTGTCTATATATAAGTTGATGGCATGCAAATCTTGACACGTAGGAAACAAGAAATTGCACGAGGGCGTCCATTCACATTTCTTTATCTTCTTTTATTATTTTAATTAAATTCATAATGAAAAAAATTATATATATTATATATATATATATAATATTATTATTTTTTTAATTCCTTGAACCAAGCTTATCTCTACAAAATTCAGCATCTCCGGTCTGACTCGCCTCTGCCCCAATCGTTTTTCACACTTAAAATAAAAAAGGAAAAATTAAAACCTAAAAACTAAAGCCCCAACTGCCTAACATATTCTTCTCATTTTTCCTAAGAAGGAACCCTCCACTCCTTTCCACCTCACAAGCAAACACCCTAGGCAGAATCGCGCCCAACATCCTATACACTCCTATCATCGTTCCTAGTCCCTCTTCAGTCAAGTCCTCTAGCTGCGAACTCATAAGTCCCTAAACTGTCACTTGTAGCACAGAACGTCCCCACAACCTCAGTTCCCTCTTCGAGCACCACGACCAACTGCCACCACCCTAGCCTACGAGCAAACCTGCAGCAACACACTCATCAACCTTCCTTCGTATAACAACCAACCGCTACTTGGATCTGCGCCTTTTTAAGACACTGTTAAGCTACGCTCGACTAACCTTTCATGCACACACAACCCTTACAGCTGCCTCCAATCATTCCTTCTCCAAATGTTTCAAAACCACCAGCAACCTCCCTCTCTCTTTCATCTCACCAACGGCCTCATCTCTCAGCTCACCATCGACCTCCCTCTTAGAACTCTAAAACCCCAACACTACTAGCCATTTGGCCAGCCACCACCACCACCACCTTCACCGTTCTTCCCTTATCTCTATCTCTCTCTCTTATATATATTAAAAAGAAAAGAGAAGAAAAAATTCGAAAAAAAGAGGAATTAAAAAAAAAAAAACAAGAAAAAATATAATATAGAAAAACTTGTGTTTTCATCGTCATTGTAAGTGCTTTGTTATCATCTCAACGCTGACATTGCCTCGTGCAAAAGTATGACTAAAAATCTTAAAATTAAGTAATTGTACATGTTGTTGTTAGTTGGAAGAAATTTTTTGAAATTAAGTACTAGTGCATATTGTTCCAATGATGGACAAAATTTGTGAAATAAGTACTCATGTGCATCTTTGCAAGAAGGTGAGGAAATTTGCCTTTTGCTCATGTAGGTGAAGAAGACCTTGCACATTTTATAAGTATGTTGGGTAGCAGACCACGGCTATGGTATCATACAAATTCGATCATCCCACTTCTTTATAAGCGTGGTGAGCAAGCCTAGCACACTCGTTGGAGAGACACCGGGAAGCTCATGAAATTCTATCTAAATGCCACCTAATTTTGGAATAATTAAAATGAACCGCTAAATTAAAATACAATGAAACAAAATTTTAAATGCTTGTCAAAGATAAACTAAAAACACATAAAATGCAACCTTTGACCAAACAAAGTTGAATACAAGAAGTGGACTTGAAATGAACACGAGAGCTCACTAACGAGCAAAAATATGATTTTATGACAATAGTTGAACATGCAAATTTTACAACTACACAAAATGAAATATTTGACAATTTAAAAAATAAGAAAGGATTTCTACTTGTCTTTAACACCATTAGACCCACAATATACATACAAGTGGACAAAATGCATATCTTTAAACCTCAAAATGAAACATTGACACATTTTTAACGTTAATTGTTGGCACAAACAATTAAATATGAATATGTGTTTTGATTAAGCATCTAATACTAAGTTTTATAAGTAAACCCTAGACCCTAGCCATCTCATTCTAGTAAATTCACATCCAACACCTTGCTAGATAGATCTACTTATCTTATTCTAGATGCTAACTTATATATGCAGAGATTTTGTCCACTATTGATGGTGCATATAATATTTTTCGTATGTTTTCAACTTATGTATTGACACAAATTCAAATACACAAACATGATGACATGAACATAAGATACACAAATTATTAAAAGTATAGAACACGAACACACTATGGAAATGATATTATAATATTATATCTTAAAGGCTAAAAGTTTTATATAGTAAGCATCCGAAGTAAACAAATATAGAATTGTTGACCTCTCTGTGTTATCCAAAAGATACAAAAGAAAAGAGGTTTAAAAAATTGCTTACCTGTAATAACCATCCCGCCGCGGTGTTCTCGTCAGAGGACACTTACCATACACTCCTTTATTGCGCGTGGTGGGAAAGGCCCAGTTTTCTCGTAGTTTTCCCTTAAACGGGGGAGACGCCTGGAGGCTGCCGAAATTTCTGGTGAAATGTTGCTGCACTCGTACCTGTTTGAACTCAAAAAAGGATATGCACTGGGACTAGAACTCAGATGAATTTGAACAGTGGACTTAGGAACTTAAACCAGAACCAAAAATGATTTCTAAAGGCCAAATTTAGAAAAAATAATATCAAAATTGGAACCCAAATCCAAAACAATTTGAACTTATAATTGAACTTGCAAGGACTTGCAAATTCGAACCAAACAGAATGACAAGTGGAGCTTGAACTACACAAGAGACCTAAACAAGCACTTGAATTTGTACTTGGAACTCGAACTGTGCAGCATCAAGGAACACAAACTGAACTCAAGCTGAATCCGAAATAGGGACTTGAGTTTGAATGGAATGCCAAGAGTTGAACTCATAACGACATACAAGACTCAAGCATGGGCTGGACCTTGAACTCGGGTCTGATGAAATACGTAGGACCAGGGCTTTGGATGAATGAACAAATCAGAGTTTAAATGCACAATTCTCTAAGTTAATAATAAGCTACAAGTGGGAGATGAAATCCTGATGCACATGAAAGATGTACGAATTCCTACAACGGTCTCAACAAATGCCTGTTGATTGAGATGGCAATACGGGAGACCAATATGTGTGTTAGATGAACATATTTGATTGAAATTACGAAAATACGAAACATGAAGTTGATTCCTATTGTTTATCTATCTGGAGAATTCGAACTAGCGGTTTTTGACTTGAAGTTAGAGTGTTGTGAGGAATTTCTTATTTAGGGTTTTCTATGGGCAATATATAGACACTTGAGATATGTAAAAAAATTTTGATCATTAAATATTAAAATAAAAAATCTATTTTCTCTTCAAATATTGTCTTTCTACTAATTGGATGTGTATTTTTTGAGTATTTCATAATTCTCCGTGGCTACTACTGTTGGATGTCTCGTTGCACTTGCTAAAGGCTTGGATCTTTGGGTGATTTTCATGTTGTTGTTCATAATAATTTTCTTAGTGATTGGTTTTTATGTGTGGTTAAAATTTTATCAAGTGTGATACATGTTTGAATCTTTTTCGTATGAATCTTGACCATTGCTAAAATTTTATATTTGTTAATTATTATTCTTGTGGAACTTCATAGTTTTGAGACAAATAAATTATTCTTCGGAACGACAGAAGCATCTTTGTTATTTTTACATTAAAAGTGGTTAAGTTCTGCTAAATTTAAGAGTTGGTAACCTATTGATTGTTTTTTTTTATATGATTTCCTTAATGTACATCTAATTCTAAGTTGCATTATCAAATCCTAGACCTTAATACCTCTTACATCACGTAGCATCTTACTCTACCTTATTATGTCAGCTAATGAGCATCCAAGTGGATCTCTACCTTTTCATGAAAATCATGTCAGCCAAGAGCATAAATTGACAACCATATGTCATGAAATCCACTCAATGGACTAGTTCACTTCAGTCCAACCCCCTTTGGAGATCATGTCTTTCTACTCCAAAGCATTCCTTATGTTGGTTCACCTCTATGAAATATTCTTCAGGCCACAATTTACCCCTGGCCGCCTCCTAAACTTGTTTGATGTTTTGTGGTACCTCAAAAAATTTTACATATATAGCAATCTCCACTGCTGAAAGACCATAAAGTAGTATCAAACTTGTATGCTTTTTTACGTTTCCTCTTGTTTAGCAATCTGGGCGGTGCTTTATCTTGAAGATTATAGGTTCCCCTATTTGGATTTTATTATTCTCTTCTGAGATAGTTTGGAGATAAATTTCTTTCCACTTTTTATCTAACTACAGGTTGTGTACAATGCAAATAGCCTATCGAATATAGTTGATAAGAGGAAAAGTTTACAAAACTGGCTTGATTATTATGAAAACAAATACAGGAGAAATTCTGTGACAAGGCCAACAGCCAAGGTTTCTTCTAGCCTCTGATGGCATGTTTTTAAACTTTTTCTTGATTAACATCAATAAATTGGCCTTCTAAAATATTGCAGACAGGATTCTGGGGGTTATGGGGGACATCTGTGGATGCTATCGACTACTATAATGCTGAGATAGAAAAGCTATTGAATAAAGTAAGTCTGGTCTATTGCCATATATGTAACTTAGCTTTTGAGAATTGACACCCAAACATGTTGAAGCACTTTCCCTTACGTGCAAAGCACATATTTAATTATTGCAGGAAACTGCAGAAAGAGAAAGAGTAATTACCGACACAAAAGCCATAATACCTGCTGCTTTTGTCTCGTTCAAAACTAGATGGGGGGCAGCAGTTTGTGCTCAAACCCAGCAGTCAAGCAATCCAACATTATGGTTAACAGAATGGGCTCCTGAGCCTCGTGATGTCTATTGGCCAAATCTAGCAATACCCTTTGTTGAGCTTACAATTAGGAGGTTGCTTATGGCTGTTTTACTTTTCTTCTTGACATTCTTCTTCATGTTTCCCATTGCAATCGTTCAGTCCCTTGCAAATCTTGAGGGCATTGAAAAGGTTTTACCTTTTCTGAAACCTGTTATAGAAATGTAAGTACTGCTCTTACTTCAAGCTTCGTTTATTGCTAATTTGACTGTTTTCATACTATTTGCTTCTCTTATACTCAGTTATCTAAGCTTTAGTTTTTTAATTTATAGTTATCAAACATGAAAACTGACAAAACCAGGCCATTTAGGACTATATACCCTGGTTTGCGTATGGGGTTTCAGGTAATATCGAGTAGTCATCAAACCTGGAAATTTTTCACTATGATTTTCTGGGAAAGGACAAAAAGATTTAATACCCAATCTATTACCAATTACTAAATGACCAAGGGAAATCTTCTAGATTTATGAAATGATGTATAATGATTGTGTTTTGGCAAATATAAATTACATAAATATTCATGCATCTCTCCAGGCATTACCATCAACTTATACACACACACATATTTGTGTGGATGCGCCTGTACTTGCCCATGCCCCATATATGCATTAGTTCATTTGAATACATGTGGATTCCCATAGGGAGAGTTGAGAGATAGCTTTTTTACTCCCCCAATTGATCTGGATTGATAACTCTCTTCATTCCAAATGATGAAGTATTCTTCTTACCCACCCTTTCTTTGATGAATCTGTTGCCTCAAGTGAATTAATAAACGAACAATTTAGAAATGTCTCAGGAACATCATTCCAAACCAATCTGCACAGCTATCTACAATGAAACTAACCCATGGCGTGCCTGATGCATACCATGTGAACCTTCACCTACTATTGTTGCTGAAGAAAAATACTGTCATCTCTTTGATAGAAAGTTGCTTGAACTTAAATCAGTACCCTATATTGTGGATTATCTTTCCTTATCCTCACTTTTGTTAGAAAGTCCATTATAAAGACCTGCCTGTTACATTGGAATTCCACTTAAGATCTTTAAAACTGACCATTATATTGAAACCACATTTTCCAAGAAAATTATTGCCTTTTCTTTTGAATATTTTAAATTTGTACTAAGTTCTAATATCTATAGTATTGACTAAAATTAGATAATGTCATCATCAGTATTTTTGGGCTATATAGGATAGGAACTTGGAATATAGGTTCTCTTACAGGAAAATTAATGGAATTAATAGATATTATGATTCACAGGAAGTTAAATTTTTTGTGCATTCAGGAAACTGAATGGGTTGGAGAGAAGACTAAGAAAATTGATAATTTAGGTTTTAAAATTTGGTATTCGGGTAGTAGTCGTACTAGAAATGGTGTAGGTGTTATTATAGATAAGAGTTTAAATGATAATG